CTTTGCTTTGCCATACTACATCAATATCGCTCTTGGTGTTGCTACTGGGATTCTGTCGCTTATCGACCCTGGCAAGGTTCCACCGCCGAGCGCCCAGCAGACTTCAGCTGCTTGGCGAATGCCTCGCCTGCTTTTACGGACGAGACGGAACCAGCACAAGGTGAGAAGTATCTTGAGGTCCTGGGAGCTGAAGTCATTCAGGAAATCATCAGACTGTAGGATCTTGCAGATACTCAAACAGCGACTGTCTGCAAGAACCGCTGCGACAAAACAAGTCTTCTTCAAAACTTGCCCACCGCAGCGCTGCCTTTCAGGCTACTGACTGGATGCCCCGCAACGGCCACGAGCTCGTCCCGCTCCTGCACGAATGCCACGCACCGACATCAGAAGGGTGTGCAAGCAGGCTCGCACGTGACAAAAAACCTCTGAGTCAAGCCCTGCCTGTGCCAACCCACAACTTCCTACCCTCGGCACCCACCCTGCCATCTCCGCGCAGCCTGCAGCCCTCGCTGGGCTGCTCAACTGCCCGGAAGCACCTGACCGGAATAGTTCAGGATGTGGGATCTCGGTCCTAGTTTAAACATTAGCACCCAAAACCCTAAACCCAAAACCTTCAGCTCGAAACCCGAAGCCCTAAGCCCCCTAAACCCTTCCCCCTCTAAACCCTAGAAATACCAGGAACCGGCCTTGGACACGAAGACCTCGCCAGGCGGCTCCCCAGTGGTCTGGAGGCCCAAGTCCACGTCCCCCTGCACGCCGCGACCGTTTTCTGCGTTTGTTTAGGCCCTGGAGGGCTTTGGGGTTTAGGGTTTAGGGTTAAATCCCTACCATGTATCGGGTTAGGGTTTGGGGCCAAAGGTTAATCCCTACCGTGTCTGTGAGATAGTTTAACCTTATCACTTACAATCCAGACACCATCCGCTGTATGACTATACTGTTATCTATGATTCCCGATAGGTTTTCCTGTAACATACTATAAGATACCTATATTATATGATTATGCTATAACATACCCCGTTTCAATTGTTGCCAAGTGCAGGCACTGCGGCGATATGAGCTGTGTACCAGGCAAATGGGGTTTTGCCTCGGTTGCGATGACCTCCAAACGACGCTGGTCCTCGAGTGGATCATGATCGAGCAAGTCTGCTGCAGAGGACAATACCAAAGCCCCAACATGCTTATGCCATAGCAAAACCTTACATCCCTGTATGACTCATATGAACCTTATATGGTCCTGCGATATAAGGCTGTCGGTATGCCCTTCTGTGATTGGATCACCTTCGCTCTTCTAATTTCGTTCTGTCCTCGTCCAAGCCATCTTGTCCTGGCTTGCAGAGCTCGGCTTTCAGGGGTCTTGGTCTCGATTCTGTTTAGGGCCAGTTTAGGGTTTGGGTTTCGGATTCTGAAGCAGATGGACAACAACAAGTGGCAGTCCTAAGCGGCGAAATCGAAGACGCCTCGGACCAGCTCCTATGAGCCAGCTCTAACCAAGGCTCGCGGCATGGAACGGTCTCTCTGAACGTTGATAAGGATCCGACGCAGGTCGTGTTCGTCCGCGGATGGCCTGACGTGCTTGGTGGGAGACCCTTCACGGGTCCCTAAAGGGACTTTACTGAAGTCCGGAGCTGAAACGCAGCCCTTGTCAAGCCCAAAGCCAATTGAAGAATCCTAAGCCAGCACCACATCTCGCTGGCCTCCAGCAGCCCTTCTTCAGTGAAGGACGCCACAGCCGTGGAGTCAATCCTTAGAAGTGCTTCGATTCAACGGGGGATGCCGCGATGTCAGGGCATCATACGCTGACAAAAGCAGTTGCTGTGAAGAACTGCTTCAAGCCGTAGGGATCTCCAGTGATCCTGGGAGGCCGGACGAGAGTAGGTGGTCACCCAACCTGGCAGCAACTTCTTGCGGTGCCATCTGCAAGCGTGGCCTTCTGCTTGAGGCTTGGCGGATGGCTGCTGAAGACTCCGAAGGAAACACGGAAGCCGACATGTGCAAATGCTAAACTGAAAACGCAGCTCATGAATAGACTCAGCACGTTGCAGGAATCATAATCTCAAGCGGTTTCGCTGCCTGACTCGCATCCGCTGGGCCCAAGTTCCAGCCTCAACCTGGCACTTGGAAGTCACACAGCAAACCACTCGGCGGTTCCTGCATACACAAGAAGGCAGCATCATCCAGTAGCAATCGCCACGGGCAAGAGAGGTTCAAGGAAACACAGTATTGTGGCTGCGCTGCTGCCGCCATCAACACTGTTCATCAGCATGTTTCAGCATCATCGCCGCTGCAAGTACTCCTCATGTCTGGACATGTATCTCGGCCTTCACCACTTCCATGGCATTCGACTTCGCGGAATGCATCCTGAGCATGACAAGCCCGGCAGAGATACCGTCCTAACCCTCCGACCCCGAACTCTGACATTTATAGGCATTAAAAAAACAGTATCATGGGTTACAGTATAACATAAGACAATCTCATCTGATCCAGTATAATGTTCTACTACCAAGTATATTGTAGGATAATGTAACATCATACTATATCGTATCGTATAACTCTACTGTAATATATTCCCCCGTACTCTACTACACTCTATAACGATACTATACCATAGCATATTATGAAATATTGTACTAGAAAATAATATAATGCGGTATAATACAATATAATATGACACAATAGAATAGAATAGGATGCGATTGGGTATAATATATCATAACATGACATAGCATGGCATATAACATGACATAATGCAATATATAACATAATCGAAAAGAGTATTGTGTATACTATACAGTAATGTAATGACACTACATTGTGTAGTAGATATAACATGGTATAACACAAAAAATGTAATATAACATGAAAATAGTATAACAGAATCTGATACATAAGAGTGCAAACTAGAACAGAATAAAGTAGAATTTAGCATGCATACATACATACATGCATGGATGCATACACACACACACATATATATATATATATACATATATACATGAGCAATATAATACACGATAAGATATTGCAAAAATATATAAAGTAGAAGATACTACACTTTGCTGTAACTTCTATTTTATACCATGCTATACTTCACTACACGACACTACACTACACTACAACAAAATATACTATACTAAACTATACTGAACTCTCGCAGATCGGCAACCATCCCACGATGCTTGGCTCACCTTTCGCCGAAAGCCCAAAGCAGCCCAAACCGAGGAAAGGCAGCAACTCTGAAAGAGCCCAAGAATCCTCGTGATATCGGACCCCTAGTAATTGGAAAGGGGCTTCGGGGAATATCAAACTACAAGTAAAATAAGGAACCTAAGAATAGTGTTGGTAACTGCTTAAGCCCCTTTTTTACCCGTCTCGTCAGCGTTTTTCTTCTTCTTCGCTGCCAAAGCCAGGCTCCAGACGCTTCAAAGCCCAGGTGGCCGTGAGCCCCTGTGGCCACCAACTCAAGAATCCCGGTGTGCACCTCGGACTCAGAGCCCTGATCTTATGTTGCTTCAAGGCGGCAGTTTAGGGATTGGGGTATAGGGTTTGGAAGTTTTGGCCTTAGGGTGTAGGGCTTCGGATTAAACGTTTCTCAGGATTCCTGGATTGCTCGAGCCTCAAGCCGTAGCTCTCGAGTTGAAGCTTGGGCTTCGAGTTGAAACTTCTTCAAAACCAAGATCAAAGGGGGCCGGGTTCGGAGAACTGTGAGTCTCTTCCTACTAGGTATCTTTGGGGTCTGTATTGAGGCACTGCAACTTGATCGCAGCGAAGTAGGTTGGGTGTTCCGGGCGTTTGAAATGCAGGCCGCACCCGCGTTCCCTGCCTGCTTCATGCGCACGGGTGATGGCTGAGCCTCAGTTTTCCGCATGGGGTACATGAAGAGACCACCAGTGCTGGCGGAAATTGACGAGGACATGCACAGCCTCCCATGAGACGTGCCACAGCCACTTGTCTTGCAACTCTTTCCAGCCACCCTTTCGCAGCCCGGTCGTCTTTGTACTCAGCTTGGGATTGGGGTCCCCAGCATGGCTGGCCCGCTTCTCTCTTATCCGATTATAGCAGGAAGAACTAGAAGACAGCAACACAGAGCATTCCTGAGTTTGCGCACCTTGCGACAGCGACACTCACTACGACAAACATCTCGAAATATGAGCTGCGGATGCATCTGAAATCCTGACAGACCAATCTACTGGACATAGGTGCAAGTGTTGAGAAATCGCCGTCTCACAAGATGCCGTCCCGGAATGCCAAGACCATCTGGCTTGGCTTAACTATTTACAAGCCGTCCTCTTGCCGGCGGGTTGGCTCGGGGCCGCAGCGAGTCCCTAAGTTTAATGATGTCTGCAGCTCTACTTCTGAAAAGCTAAACTTTGCTGAAGTACGGCGCAACAGGATATACTGTACTATGAACTAGTATAATATACTATAACTTAATACACTACCATAACTATACTTCACTTTACTGTACTAGACCATACAGGGGAATTGATGCCGGCCCCCTGCCTTACAGTGACGCACCGGATATGTCTCGCTCATTCCGCCTTGCGGAAGACACCCACGGCTTGCCCTCCTCGGGTGCTGATCGCAAACGCCGGGCCTCCACCGCGAAGCTGATTTGAGTGTCAGGACATCTTACGGGCTGCGGCTCTTCGTAACCAAAGATTTCGTGCTGGGTTCGGGGCCTCGCTCTTCTTAGGGCTTTCCGCCACAGTCCCCACTCGCAAGTCGCGCCTGCAGCAATGCAGAGCTCTTTCGGCGGCACCTGGCAAGATGCAACAACCCAGTAAAGTTCACGTAGAATAGCACAGAGTCACGCCCAGCAAAACCAAGCCTGCATCTTGCCATAGCTGACACCCATCTCGGACTCAAAGTAAGACCTGGGCAAGATAAGCAAAAGGAAAATTAGCATTTCGGTATGGAATTCTCCTGGGTTGAAAGGTGAACGCATTTCCCGACGCCCACAACCAAACGCCTCATCAAAGGGCACATCCAAAACTCTGCTATCAAGCCTTCACTCGCCACAGCCAAATCCTAGTAAGCGTCCCTCCCTGCAACTTGGCGCCAAACATCAATTCATCCTTCACATTGCTGTCCAGAGACAAGGCCCTCGGCTCCAATTTTTGGATGTTATTGTTATGATACTACCACTACGACCACAATGTCGTTGTCGACGATAAGTAGCCGCTAGCACTCATTGCTGACTCGTATTTTGTCTCTTCTACTGCTACACTGCTAATGCTGCTACCTAACATCATCCCTAGCTGTCATTCTCATAACCATTCTTTTGAGGATGAGGAGGAGCAGGAGGAGTCGTTGCCGCTAATGTTGCGGTTGCTGCTGCTGCCGATGCTGTTGGCGTTTTCTCGTTGTTGATGAAGCCAGGACTCTGCCAGCGGCCGTCGCTGGTGTGTGACCAGATGTGGCGGAGTGCATCAACGGTCTCCAGTTTCTCCTTCTGTAGGACTGCCCAGGCCTCCTCCGAAACTACAAAATACTTATGAGGGCTTCGGGAGCTCGTGTGCTGCCGACTCTGCTTCTTGGGTTCCCTGTACTAAGTTGAGTGCCTCCGTCTGGGTTTCCGAAAGTCCCAGGCGGCGCATGAGCTGCAGAGCAGACATGGCCACTGAGCCTTTGCAATAACCCACTTGCGGGACACCTAACCGCTTTGGGCCCACAGCTGCAGAAGCGGGCATGGAGTACCTAGCAAAATGGTGGATGTCGATCTGCTTCTTGTCGCTGGGCCCATCTTGTTGTAAAGCAGTGTGGATGCCATTAATGCACAAAGCCAGCCACCAGTTCAACCCTAAACCCTAAACCCTAAAGCATCCCGGCCCGTGCGGCTTTTTCTGCCTTCCTTCAGCCGTCTCATCCTCCGGTGGCTCGCTGGGTTGCAGGCTCACCACGCTTCCCACGCCCAGCAGGGCCCAGCTTTCCGGGGGCGTCCTTACAAGCTCCTGGCAGCTTTGGCTCTTCTAGGGCTTGCTGAAACGTAGGGCCCCCTAACTTAGGGTCCCTCAGAGCGAGCATCCTACTCTGGGGTTCTGGAGTACGGGCCCCCTCATTTTCCGAACAGAAACCCTAAACCCTAAACCCTAAAAACCCTAAATACCCCTCAATCCCTACACCCTGAACCCCTCCTGAAGCCACGAGAGGACCAGCTTCGCAGTCAGTTCCGGCTCGTCACACTGGAGCGAGAGCCCGAAGGTGCAGGGAGAGCTGGAGCCCTCCACGTGCTTCAGGGGATTCCTGGGTTTGTGCTAACGACTTTCATTTAAGTTACCTCAATATACGGAGCCCCATTATTTACTACAGACCCCTATTATGGTAGCTTAGGTTGAGTTCCTTAATGATAAGAAGAACCCAGATTCTGGTCGACAATGCGCGAAGTCTTGTGTGCCGCCTCGTACAGGGACCTGACGGCGATCGAAGGCAAGGCAGGGAGCTGTAGCAAGGACTTAGGGATTTAAGTTTAAGGGTTTGGCGTGTTGGGTTTTGGGTGACGGGTGTAGGGTTTAGGATTTCGGCTTTGGGTCGCAATCGACCCTCATGGACGGAACCAGACATCCCAAAAGGCCGCGTCCTAACCCTAGACCCCCCAGACTTTAAACGACTTGAACCCCACACACTCAACACTTGTGGTCTGACGCTTCTACGTAGTACTATAGTACTAGTAATAGCACTAGTAATAGTTCTGGTAATGGTAATAATTATAGATCTTTGGCGCCTGCTGTCTGACTCCTGGCCTGGAAGCAGGAAGACCAAGGCTCCACCTCTCAGGGGACCCAAACAGGGGTATTACTAGAGTTTTTCATTTTTCGGGTTTCGGGTTTAGGGGCTTTAGGGTTTAGGGTTTAGGGATTTGGGGTTTCGGGCTTTAGGGGTTTAGCTTCAGGGCTTTGGGGTTCTTAGTTTAGGGCTCCGGGGGTTTGAATGTGAGGAGCTCAGGGTGCAGAGTTCCGCGGATGCGTGGGGTAAGGGGTTTGGGGTATATGAGGGATGACCAAAGGCACCTCGCCACCACAAGAGACTGAACACCAGATCCTATCCCAAACCCCGAGCCCTTGCAAACCCAAAAACGCCCTTTTAAAGCCGATCTGAACAATCACGCTAAACCCTAAACCCCTAAACCCCTAAACCCCGAAACCCTAAACCCCTAAACCCCTAAACCACCAAGCCCTAAACCTAAACATAATCTGTGAATCTGAGACTGACCTGAGCTTGCGAGGTCCCGCGCGGACCGGACCAGCCGCAGTGAGCGGCGGGTCTGAAGGACGCCCTCCTGTGGAGGGGTTTTCGGTTTAGGGTTTCGGATTGTGGGTTTAGGGTTTTGGGCTTAGGGTTTAGGGTTTAGGATTTTGAGTTTAGGGTTTAGGGTCTAAGGGGTTTTGGGTTGCTTAGGGTTTAGAGGAGCAGCTTTGGGGAGCTTTGGCTTTGTCTGAGCTCTCGTGTTTTAGCCTTTGGGCACAGAGTCTGAAAATAAAGTCTGGATATCCGGACCCTAAACCCTGAACCCTAAACCCTCAACCCTAAGCCATAAGCCTTAAGCCCTAAACCTAAACCCTAAGCCCTGAGCCCTAAACCCTAAACCTGTTGGCTCTGCCTCCATCGACTCCAAGACGTCCCCTTCCCCGACGACGGGGCCACGACAGCCCGATTCGGAGCAGAAATGCAGGATCACCACCAAGGCCATGTTCTTGCCATCTGCAAATGCATACATAATTGTATGTATGTATATATATATATAGATAGATAGATAGATAGATAGATAGATAGACAGATAGATAGATAGATAGATAGAGTTTTTTATATCTATATTATACAATATCATATAAAAATACAAAGTATATATGGTATACATACAAGGGAGCAGAAAGGGAGGCCTAGCAGGTCGGGGAACCCTGGGCTGAAGCCCACGATCAGAGCCCCCAAACAGCCCCGGAAAACTCCGATGGGCCTTGCTTGGGGCGGTTTAGGGCTTTGGGTTTTAGGGTTTAGGGTTTTAGGGTTTAGGTTTTAGGTTTTAGGGTTTAGGTTTTAAGGCTTAGGGTTTAGGGTTTAGGGTGGGCCTTGCTTGGGGCAAGCTTGCAGCACGGTGTCCAAGATGTACTCGTCGGCAATATCTTCGTTGTCCTGCCTCACGGTGCAGAGGACCTGCAGGGAACAGGCCGAAAATCACCGCCCATCCTACGTTATCGATTCGTAGTCCATATGCAATCGTACCTGTAGTATTCGTATACCCCCAAACACCCGCGTTTTTCCTTCATTCCTCCTTCCACCTGATCTTGAGCACTGCAGCCATACGCATCGTAGACGGTTTTCGCGGGCAAAAGCATGAAGATATGATGAACCCGGACCTCATTTAATTTAGTTCGTCAGAAGACATCAGAAGCCTGAAAGACCAGCAAACCCATGCCACAATAACCCAGACATGCAAAGAATATCTCAGAACAACAAATATCACAGTAAACCCTAGCCCAAAAAAACAGAAAACACGAAACAACACCCTACCACCTGCAACGCAAGTTAGAATCACCTAAAGCCTAAACTTTACAGAAGAGGAACCCCTTAAACCCCTAACTTTAAGTCCAAAAATTAAAGAAGCTGCCTGCTTCATCCGGCTCGTGGCGCGCGGCGGGCGCAGGGTGGACCGAGCTGGCTGAAAGAAGCCAGCACCTGGTCTCATCCCACAAAGCCGTACTTTAAGGCTTACTATAGGGATTTAGGGTTTAGGGTTTAGGGTTTTGGGTTTAGGAAGGCTTACTATAGGGGTTGGTATACTATTAAATATTAGGTATAAGGATCAAGGTTTTCGTAGCATCCTCAGTTAGTTTGGGAGGTTTAGGGTCGGAAAGATGGGTGCCCAAAGCCTAAAGCCTAAACCCTAAACCCTGGACCCTAAACCCTAAACCCCAAAGGGCGACCGGCCCATGAGCAGCTCCTCCAGGTTCTCGGCCGTCCCAGGACACGAAGATCTGCTTCCCAGATCTGGCCAACATCGACGAGAGCCTGGGCTTTTTAGGGCTTCGGGTTTTAGGAAAGTGTAGGGTTTAGGGTTTAGGAAAGTGTAGGGTCTAGGGCCCCAATCCCTGAACCCCCAAACTTGCTGGGGGGTAGGCGCGACTGCAGCGGGTGTGCGGCTGCCATGCAGCAGATACCGCTCCTGCGAGAGCTGAAGCACTCGGATTCATGATGAACATGGCCCTAAACCCTAAACCCTGAACCCTAAACCCTAAGCCCTAAGCCCCAAAACCCCCGAAGAACCTAACCAGATGCAAGAGAAAAAACAGAAGGAGCCCTGAGGCCTCCATGGCAAAGAAGATGCTCAACAGATCTCCGCGGCAAGCGAGCTACTGGGGCCGGAAAGCATACCGCCCACGTCTGAGCTTCGGCTTCCGAGCTCCGATGGCTGCGACGAAGGGATCCGATGCAGCTCAAGAGGGTTCTGGGATTGCTAAGGCCATAGATGAGCAAATGCGCAACCGACATCATCCCTGGCATCCTGCGCTAAACATCTCGGCTTCACCCGTAGCCCCTAGACTCTAAACCCAAACTCTTTAAAAAACAGCCCTTGAACCCTTGGAACTCTGGAAAACCTGCAAAACCACGTAGAAGCCCTCAGAAGCCAAAAACCTTTGAAAACCTTTGAAATCTCTTAAAACCCCTTTTTTGAAAAGTAACCCCCAAACCCTAACCTCTAAACCGCTAAACCCTATAAACCCTAAACCCCAAATCCCCAAAACCCCCTAAACCCCAAACCCCAACCCCTAAACCCTAAAAATCCGGGATGACCCGAGGCTCGCGCTCCCGAAGCCTCGACCTGGCGCAGAGTCGCCGCTGCGTTTGAAGGGGGGAAATTGTGAGGCTTGGAGGTTCAGGGTGTCGGGTTTATGGTTTAGGGTTTAGGGTTTGGGGGTTTAGGGTTTAGGGGTTTTGGGTTTGGGGATTTGCTGTTTAGGGGTTGAACAGCAGGAGTATGAGGGCTTTTGGGGTTTATCTACGGGTTTCGGGTTGAGGGTATGAAGGCTTATGAGGCTTGTAAGGTTCTGCACAACATCTTGAGTGTTCTCGGGTCTTGAGAAATTTCGATCTTTGGGGCTTTAGCGCTTCGTTGCTTTGGGGTGTGTACTTCTGCCTGTAGCCTGTGTGTGCCCCCATCTTTTCAAAAGCGCGCCTGCGCCTGCTTTTCAGCTGCCAGCTCCTCGACTTGCTTCTCCATGGCCTCCAGCTCCCTCTCCTCTTCGAGCACCACCTGAAGGGAAAGGGAACTCTACATCCCATCGCGGCAAGAAAAGACCGAACCCGCCTCTTCCCTGCGCTCCTGGGCCACCTGGAGCAGCTCCTGAGCCCTCTGCTCCGCAGCCTCCAGGCTCTCTTGCGCCTCGCTTTGCAGCGTCTTGCGGCGCTCCTCCGCCTCTGCAAGGAGCTCCCGTGCACGCTCCTGGGCCTGCAGCTCCAGGGCCTCTCCCTCCTTCTGCTCCTCCACCAGAAGAGTCTGGCGACGCTTCAAAGCCAAGGCCATCATCTCCTCCGCTCGCTTCTCCAAGGCCTCCATCTCCCGCTGCTCTTGCAAAATCACCTGCTCGCGGCTGCGCAGCTTGGCTTTCAGGTCCTCCTCGCCGGCCCTCAGCGCCAACTCCCTGACACGCAAAGCAGAGGACAACTGCTGCTCCGTCTTGGCCTCCCCCAGAAACTCCCGCTCTTGGTGCTCCTGCTGGCTCCTTAAGCTCTGCTCCCGAGCAGCCAGCTGAGCCTCCCACTTGGAGACTTCCAGGGCCGCCTGGTCTTCCATCTCCCGCGTCAAACTGTCCTGCCGGATGGCTTTGGCCACGGCCTCCTGGGCTTCCTCGCGGCTTAAGGTGGCCAAACTCTGCTCCTCCCGGAGCTTCCCTAGCTCACCCTGGACCTCCTCCAGCGCGGCCTCCCGAGCGTAGAAGCCCCGAGCTGCCGCTTCTTCCGTCTCCGCCTTCGCGGCAGACACTGCAGGGAAGAGAAGCTCCCGCTCCTGCGTCTCGCAGCGCGCGTGGAACGCGGCCTCGTGCTCCCGATCACGGAGCTCACTCTGGGACAGGATCTCCTTCTCCCGCTGCTGCAGCAACTCCTCCCAGTTCTTCACCTCCTTTGCCGCCGCCTCCTCGCACTCGGAAGTGACTTGCTCCCTTGCCTTGGCCATTTCAAGCTTCTCCTCCGCTTCGTCTAAGGCAACAGACGCTTTCGTCTGCTCTTCCCGGATCTTCTGCAGCTCCGAGGCCACCTCCTCCATGGCAGACTCCCGTGCATAGAACCCTCGCGCTGCAGCTTCCTCCTTCTCAACTCTGGCTGCTGCAAGGGCCGGCAGCAAGCTTTCCTGCTCCTCGGTCTCGTAGCGCAGCTGCATCTCTGCGGTGCGTTCGCAAAGACGAGCCTCCGCCTCCTCCGAAGCCGCAAGGAGCTGCATCTTCTCCTCCCGGACCTCCTCCGTCGCGGCCTCCTGGGCATAGAAGCCACGCGCTGTCGCTTCTTCCGTCTCGGCCTTGGCCGCGGCCACTGCAGGAAGCAAGACCTCCTGCTCCTGCTTCTCGCACATGGCCTTGAGCTCCTCACTCTGGGAGCTCTCCTCTCGCCCAGCGGAGCCGGCATGGGAGCTCTGGGCCTCCTCTGAAGCCTTGCTCTGCTCTTCCTCGAGCTTTTTTGGCTCGGACATCTCCTCCACCGTCACACTTTCAGCAGCGCCACCAAGCACCGCAGATGCGGCTTGGCTCATTAGCTCTTGGGGACTTTGCGCCAGGGCGGCAGACCCACCTTCCAGGCCTCCAAGAAACCCCGAGGCATCGGAAGCCAAGGGCACTGAAGCTCCGGCGACCACACCTCCGTTTGCCAGAGACCCACCAACGCCAGGCCCGCCAAGCCCGCCAAGCTCTCCGGCCCGGACCGCCAAGTTGGGAGCCGGGTTGCCGCCAGGCTGATAGCCCGGCTGAAGCGGCGCAGACTCTGCTGACGGCTGCGAGCCGGGCTGAACAAGTGCTCCGCCTTGCGGATCTGAGACTGGAGCTGGGATGTCTGAGAGTAGCCAGGCTCAAACGGACTCTGCGCTGGATAAGAAGATCCTTGCTGCTGAAGATGTGCGGGCGCTTGTGGCATGTGAGGAAAAGCTCCCTGCTGACCTCCTGCCTGTGCTGCTTGTTGCTGCGTGGCTTGGAGCATCTGTGAGTGGCCAGGCAGCTGACTCGCCTCGGCTTGTGCGGAGGCATGCAGATAGCCTGGCTGCTGAAGATGTGCAGATCCCTGTGCTGCTGACACTTGTGGGTATCCCGGCTGCTGACATTGCGTTGGTCCGGATCCCAGCATCTGTGGGTAGCCTGGCTGCTGAAGATGTGCCGGACCTGGACCTTGCCGTGAAAACACTTGTGGATACCCCGGCTGCTGGAAAGGTGCTGGTCCGGAAGCTGGCGGCCCGCCGGAATACCCTGGCTGCTGAAACTGCGCGGGTCCGGATGCTGATGGCATCTGTGAATAGCTTGGCTGCTGAAGGTGTGCAGAGCCAGGCGCTGAGGACACCTGTGGGTGCCCTGTCTGCTGAAATGATGCTGGTCCGGCTGCTGAAGTCGAGGGATGAAGGTGTGCAGGACCATGCGCTGAGTTGGGATACCCTGACTGCTGGAGTGCTGGAGCGCCTGCTGATGTCAAATGGCCTGGCTGCTGAGACTGTGCATGCACTTGCGCCTGGGGCAGGTGCGCAGAGCTTGGCTGCTGAAATGGAGTCTGCGAAAAGGTGCCCTGCTGGAGCTGCGCTTGCACGGCCCCTCGCCGAGTGTCTTGCGATGTCTGAGGGTAGCCGCTCGCCAGCGACTCCTGGAAGTATCCCTGCTGAAACCCTTCCTCTGCAAGAGGAGTCCTCGGAGGCCGCGAGGGCGCGTGGGCTGCCTCTTGTTGCGCGGCTTGCGACTGCACCTCCACCAGCTTCTGCTGCAGCTGCTGCAGGTGCTGCCGTCGTTCCCGAAGCTCCTCTGAAGGTAGTGTAAAAGTGTCGGTAAAATTTGTGGAAGAGCGTGCTTGGACCACCCAGAGGCAGAGAACCGCTGGAAGAACCCGGAAGCCAAAAACAACAAAAAAAAAGGCGAAAGCACCCCCCCCCCCAAAGAAACCCTTGTCCGGGTCCCTGGGTCCTGCAGCTCCTGATCCACTTGGCCGAGATCCCCGGCACCCGGCGACCTGCAGAGGAGACTTGGGACTTGGGCTGACAATCATGATATTTACAATAGCAATAATAATCATGATTTAAGCATGATAATAATGATAATAGTAATAATAATAAGAAGAAGAATAGTAATAATAATAATAATCATCATGATAATTATATAACAATAAATAATATACTCCCACCATAAATAATATACTCCCACCTCTCAGCCGTAGAGGCCGAGGAGACTCGTTCAACGTGCATAGGCTGCATAAACGCGGCTCTCAAAGGTGCAGCGCCTGCACCAAGGCTCTTTGAATCAGACCGTGCGCCTCGAACGGCCAGGGCTCGCCACGCGCACCTCGAAGCCTTGAGAGGCCAACCGCCTCAGCCAGAGCTTCGTGCTTCGACTCCTGCTTTTTATTGTGGAGCTCCTTTGCTCCCCTCTGAAAGCGTGCTTCAACTGAAATCGTCGGCAATTCCTCCCTTGAAAACTCTCTGCCAACGAGGGCGGGTTCTAAGCGCCTGGCACGAAGCCCAGACGCAGTGGTCGAACTGCTCTCCTTCCATCTCTTCCGTCGTACACTCGTGTGCCTACCATTGGTATCATGCACGCTGTCAGACAGCTGGACAGGCCTGTCAGACGGACAAAAGAATCAAGGCAAGTCGCGGAACAGAACAATGCTCGGGTATGAAAGCAAAGAACACGCAAAGATCTTGCCCCGCGTCTGAGGACGTGGCAGCTCTTCCGAAACTTCCTCCGGTGACATTTCGGAGGTGGGCCGGCCCTCGATCCAGACAAGAAGGTCACCTCACAGCCGCTGCACGTGCACATGTGCCATTACACCCTCATCCTGTTCCTGAGACACTCACGGGCTTGCAGGCCATGTCCCCAAACCAAGCCGCCCAGGAAGGCCCGAACGATGGAGGCCTGGCAAGTTGAAGCTCCCGAACCCACCGAGCCCGACACGTTGCGGGGCCTCGTGAAGCGGCGCCCCACTCAGCTCCACACCAAGGTCCAAGACATCCTCCCAAAGCTAAGCCAGCTAGGGAAGAGGAAAGCAGCTCCCAGTACCCGATCCACGGAGCGTTATTGCTCTGCTGTCAGATGTTCTGCAATCCGAGGAAGCACATCGAGTTGCATTCCTTCGGCTACACCCTGCCAACCTTGGCGGACATGGCAACTACAATGAACTGCTGAGGGATGCCAAGCTTCAGCAATTTGAAAAGGAGAAGGGAGTGCAGCAACCAAACTGAACTGCAGAAATGTGGGCATCAATCGCAGAACGGAGTCTCTCCTGACATTGGATAAAATCACTCCGAGCTCTGGGAATCGCAGGTCCAAAAACTAGCTGCGACTTGAGAAGGGATGGGTGTAACTTTCAGGGGCGAAAACAGCGAGACAGTGTCCAAAGCACGTCGCGTGAGCCTGAAAAGAAGCCGAGATCGAAATCTTAACCGTCATATGTCATATGGCTTGGCGGCAATTAGTCACCTTCAAGCCGGCGATTCTGTCAGTCCTCTGGCACGTTGACCCAAAAATCCTGGCAGTCGCAGGTTCAAGCAGTACAGGTGTACTCCGGCATGACCTCTCTTCTTGAACTCAAGACGAACATCCAGCAAATTCATCAAACCCTCCGGTCCGCCAATTCCTGCTTACATCAAAGATATTCTACTGTTCTTCTATGATTAGTACTATCATATTATTGATACGACTCGTATTGTCGTTACAATTATTCTTGCTATTTAGAGTTATCAGTCGAATTGCTCATTAGACATTAGAACGATGGTGATCATGAGCATTATCATTATCATTACTACTGTATCATTTCAATCACCCTACACCCTAAACCCCAAAACCCTAAACCCCTAAACCCCCTAACCCCTAAACCGCTAAACCCTAAACCCCTAAACCCCCAAACCCCTGTGAGAATCCCCACATGTCTCGGCGCCTTCACCGCTAACGGGGGGCTGAGGCTTTCGATCTCGAGGACCTCATAGCCTCGAGGAGCTGAGCGAAGGAGGGAGCCCTTGACCTCGGTAGGGTTTTGGGGTGTTTAGGGTTCGGGGTTTAGGGGTTTAGGGGTTTTGGGGTTTTGGGGGTTTAGGGTTTCGGGGTTTAGGGGTTTTGAGGTTTAGGGCTTTGGCTCTAGGGTTCGGGGTTTGGGGTCTGGGATTGAGACTTTAGGGTTCAGGGTTCGCGGTTTGGGAATTGCTTGGGGGTGGGAGCTTATCGTTTAGGGTTGTGGGTTTAGGGTTTAGGGAGTGTAGGGCGTAGGGTTTTGGGGTGCTTCTCACTTCTACCACCCTGCCTTGTTACTGCGACCCCCGCAGAACTTCTGCACGACTGAGACAGGGCCGACTTCCTCCAAAAAACTCGTGCCCCCCTCTCCACGCCTGTCATCACCCTACCCTCGAGCCCCAAGCTTTCATTCAAGGTCAAGTCCCAGAAAGTGCAACCAGTCTAGATACATGTATGTATATATATATATAAACAAACATGTGAAACCAAATAGATATGTGTATATATATATATATACAAATATACATATATATATATACATACATACATATATGCATACATATAAATATATATATACTAGAATAATATTAGTAATCATCATCTTCATAATCATAATAGTAATAATCATAATAAGAATAACAATAATAATAATAACAATAATAATAATACCAATAATAATAATTTTTGTTTTGTTATTTATTATTATTAGTATTATTATTATTGTTATTATTATTATTATGTATTATTATATATTGTTGTTATGTATATATATATGTATATAATATTGTTATATATTATTATCATCATTATTGTTCTTTTTATTATATCTATATATACATATATACATATCTATATATATCTGTGTGCGTGTATGACACTGCTTTGCTTCTTAGCAGGCCTAGCTTGCCGCCTTGTTCCCGGCTTTCCCTGAGGGCCCAGGTACCCCTACACATATGTAACGTTCTATGTTAACATACATACGGACCCTCAACGGCACTAAACCCTAAACCCTAAACCCCTAAAGCCCTAAACCCTTAAAACACCCTAAACCCCAAAACGAACTTCCTTTCAGCGCCTGACTGCCTCGGCCAAGCTGCCATCCCCGTGCGCGCCAGCCAGCCTCGGCTTTCGGCTTCCCCTTCTTGGGGGGGGGGAAAGTTTAGGATTTTGGGTTTAGGCGGCTTTGGGCCTAGAGTTTAGACTTTGTTCTGGCTTGGGTGTCACGGGTGTTTTGCTGAACACCAGCGAAAGATGCGGCTTTGGCCTGTTTCAGGCCTTGCCCGAGGGTGCGGCCAGTGAGACGAGGAGGAACCTCCGCGCAGCGTACACAGAAGCGCCGCCAGCAATGACAAGCTTGAGAGGTTTAGCTTCCGGATGTAGGGCTCGGGAACATAGATACAAGCCTCTGCTGCAAGTGAGACATCTAAGCCGACTCCCAGCCCCTTTTACTCGTAAGTCCAGCCTACGGATCCTCGAAGACCCTCCACCGAAAAGAGATTCAATACTTCCTTGGAGCCCGACCCTGCGCCACCACGAGATAGACCTCAGCATGGCAGCAAGT